GACCCCCAGGTCCTCCTCTGCAGGGCTGCTCTCAAGGATGCTCCTCCCAGTCTGTGCCTGGGATTCCTCCAGCCCAAGTGTAAAGCCTCACACTTTGCTGTGTTTAACCTCATTAGATTCACCCAGGCCCACCTTTCAAGTCTTTTGAAGCCCCTCTGAATGGCATCCCTTCCAACCACACCACTCAGCTTGGCGTCACCAGCAAACACGCTGGGACCGCTCTCGATTCCATCATCCACGTCACTGATGAAGCTGTCACAGAGCACTTAAAGCACTGAATGGAACGGGTACCTGCTCTGTTTTCCTTGCGATGAGATTCCCGATGGTCTTGCTGAAGAAGCTGGCGAGCAGTGGGTTCAGGGGCGGCTCGTGATCCAAGAAATCATAGAGGATGTTGAGCAGCGTCTCATCCCCCCCCAGCTTGTCGTTGATCTGGGGCACGTCGGAGGTCAGCAGCTCGCAGGCGGTGTTGGGGTACCTGTGGGCACACAGCAACAGGTGAAATGGAAACTCCCGTGGACATGGGCACTGGTGGAGGTTATGGAGCAGCACTGCCCTTCGTGGGGTAGAAAACACCATGAGAATGAGGGCAAAATGAGGGTCATTGGGGCATCTAAGATAACGCTGTCCCTAGCATGTCATGTATGGCTGTTTTACCACTGGATTATGTATATAACTGAGCACAGATGGATCCCTTCCTTCTCCTGGCTTTGTTTCTTGCTCTTCCAGGTGGGCTCGTCAGAAACATCCATGACCAGGAAAGATAATGATGTGCTTATAATTAATAATGTGTTTATAATCAGGCAGGTGACACAGAGGAAAGACAAAGCCCACCCACTGCTTCTCGAGCTGCTGTCTGCAAGCAGAGCAGCTCATCTTCTGTGTACTTTTCAACAGCAAAACCCATATTTGCTACATAATTAAAAACTCCTATCCAATTAATAACACGAGAAACCCCACAGAACAGTGCTGCAGCAAATGTATGTTCTTCAGTGAATGGTGTCATGCCATGGGACACAAAGCCAGCACAATTCCCACTTGTAGTTGCTATGTAACGTGTGCTATGGCTCCTAACTATGGAAATATGAAACAGTTGTACCAGTGTGGCAATCTGTACAGCCCAAAGGGAAAGCTGTAACGTCTGCTGCTGTCAGGGATGGGAAACATGGAGAGGCAATCCTCCATCCTCCCTCACCAACAGCACAGGACTCAGGTTAGGGTGAATGCAGGAAGCTGAGCAGCCCACCTCTCTTCCTCTCCTTCAGCAGTTACTGATGACAGAGCCTTTCTTTATCCTCCCACAACCTCTGATGAGGTTGCCCACCTTTGCTGTGCCACGCAGTGCACATTTCCCATACCGTGGGCTTTGCTGAATCCATCAAAGCCCTTCCTGATGACCCATGGAACCTGACTTCCCTCAGCTGCTCCCTGCACTGTTTGATGGCAGGAGCCAGCCTTGGCTACAAAGCACAAACAGATCCCTTTTTTGGGGGGGCAGGGAGCTCCATTTGCACGATGCAGAAGCCAGATGTATTGGTTCAGACATCACCCTGGAGCCTCTCAAGAACTCTGTTGCATTTTCCACTCTGTTCTGCTGTTTTTTAGGCTGACCAGGGGAGCTCCTTTGTACTCGGATTCCTTTAAATCACACAGCTGAGCACCAGCCTGGCATCACTTCCAATGATTTCCTTCCAAAGCCATTTCCCCACGTCCTTCCCTTTGGTGAGGGCATACCTTCACCTGCAATGGGTTATTCATCTCTCTTTAACTAAACCAGCTTCCTACTACTTAAAACACTCTTCATACCAGCTCTGCATGGATCAGGAGCGACTGAAACGTTTCCAAGGCCAGCTGTGAGCTTCTTAGCCTTCTGCAGCTCCTGACCAGCTGCTCCACGTGAGTGCAGTTCTGATTCTTCCTGCTATAAACCGCCTTATCATCAGCTTGGGATTTGGTTTTTATGTCCTTTTTGCTGCTAGAAGGATGGTAAATTTGAGTACATTATGGCTCCTGTTACAAAGTGATTTCACAGCAGTCACATTTCTTACAGCTCTTAAGGTTACAAGGAGCTATTCCTCCTTTTTTTTTTCCAGCTCACTGCTCCACGTAAAAGGCATTTATGATTCCTATGAGCTCACACACTGTGCCTCCCTGCAACACACACCCTGCCACCAGGCAACAAGTGAAATCACTCATTATTATGGGGTGTTCCACTCTTGCAGGCCTTTCCACCTTCAAGTTTCACAGCCAGGCTGAATGCTGCACCCCCTTCCATCGAGGCACTGCCCCCCAACCCACTGCATTTCCGTGCTCTGGGGACTCGTCCCCATGCTCCACGCTCAGCTCCTGGCCACGCAGCCCAGCCTGACACAACCACCACCTGCTGGGCCTCTCCTGTGAGCACTGCTCCTCAAGCAGCACGCGCTCCTCGGGTTTGAGAGACACCCTGGTATGCCAACAAGTTCATTATAAATGGTAATTACAGTTCCAACAGTTGAATGTGCCGCTTGGATGTGCTGCAGCCCTTCACCTGGTTGCTACGTTCTGCCTGCTGTGCTTCCACGGGGATTTAAAGCTGAGCTGCTCTCTGCAATTCGTGAACTTTCACCTTACTGGCAGCTGGTCAGGAGCTGGCACGGGCTGCCTGGGGGATGTGTTCCATCCCTGGGGGTGTTTCAGAACACTGGAGATGTGGCACTTGGGGACACGGTCCGTGGGCACGCTGGGATGGATTCGGGTTGGACTTGGTGACCTTGGAGGCTTTTTTTTTCCAACCTGAATGACTCCCACGATTGTGTGATTCCAGGACCAAAGCACTGTGATGATTCCAGCCCTGCAGCATGCACCACTCCGAGCTGCACATCCTCCTAAACCCAGCAGGTTTCTCTCTCCTGCTCCAGTTCAGAAACTTGCCTAGCTTTTTTCTAAGAGCCAAAAACTGGATTCCTTTTGGATTTAGAGTTTATTCCTCCTGCTTAGGTGTTATCTATCCCCAAAGCCTCCTCGGTTTGTAATGAGCTTAGACCCTCTCCCCTCTCTCTGGTGTCTCAATGTGCTTTGGAAATGCTTCTCTACCCATTTGTGTGCAGTGCTGGAAGAATCTCCCAAAGCAAACCTGGAGCTGCCTGAAGCACACACGTACCCTTAGAGCCTGCAAAAGGCACGTCCTGCATGTGAAATTCAAGGCAGCTGGAAGTTAATGCTCATGCCAAGCCACATCTTCTCATCCTTTACCTGTTTGGCACGGATGAGAAAAGGTTTCCAGCTTACTCCACAGCACAGAGGACCAGAGATGTGAACTGTCTCAAAATCTCAAAGGAACAGGACATACAGAGATGGCCTGGTTAGCAGCACTACGGGGTACCTGCAGTGCAAGGGGCACTGTGTGAATAAGCACCAGAGGGGCACTGGATCCCTCTTTCTCTCCTCCTGCACAAGATGGGCACGTTCCAGGAAAGGGAGACAAGTCTCACATCATTCACCATTTCCTCAGCTCGTTAACTTTCACTGCAAAGGAAAATATTATCCATCCTCTCCAATAAGGACAACAGTGTAACACAGACCCTCCTGGTGCCTTCTGGAAGATCACCTGGGTAGGAAGAAGCCTTGCAAAGTCATGCATACAGTGCTCCACTTTCCTGCCATTTGCTTACCTACGCATCCTCACCTGCACAGACCTGATCAACTGCTTCACCAAATGAAGCTGAACAGCCCCATCCCTTCCGTGTATTGTCAGCAAATGCAGCACCAACCAGCACTGACCACTCCCACAGCATCCTGCTGGTTTATTTAGACACCAGGCAACCTTTCATTTTTATGTAAACTCAGCAAAGAAAAACCAAACTTCCCAAATCCGAAAGGCAAATATTTTCAAGTGTGCACTTGGTTTAAATGTATAAACACAATTTGGTGTGAGAAACGCACATCCAAGAGTTCACCATCAAAAGGAAGGGTGGCTCTGCCCTGCTGGATGAATAATGAAACCAAGAGGTTCTGCATATGCAGCACACTGAAAACATGACATCTTCTATTCACAGAACAGCTTGAGTGCTTCCAAAGGGTCGACTACTGATGGAGATCAGAGTTGTAGCTGAGCAGAATGCTTATGCTCTGCTTGCAGTGTTGACTGGAATGCACTGAAGGCACTTTGGAGATACTGATAAACTCGCGTGCGATGTTTTGAGCAAGCAGCAAGGCACCGTTTTCTTTTTTAGGCAAACTGAATGAAAAGCCACCAAGAGCAGAGAAACAAACCTCTGAAAGCTCCCTACAGACGCTGAGGTATCTCTCACTGGAGTGCTTGAAAGCTCCCCTGCAAAACGACACGGCCACAAAGCCACTCATTTCTCACATCCAGACTTTTTAGTTTCTACTAAAGACAGAGAAAATCTCCACCCTGGCCAACATTGTGCAGAAAGGAGCAAACTTCCAGTACACATCTTGGAGGGTTCACCCAGCAGAATACACAGCACAGAGCCACCAGCACCACCCAACCATCCCACAGTCTCTAAAAGTGAGGGCAGGGAATGGCAGACCTGCATGCAATCACCAGGGAGTTCTCTGATCTGCTGAGATGACAACGTGGACATTAAATCCACAGTGAGATGCTGTGAGACCTGTTCCACAGAGCAGCACGAATTTGGGCTCTAAGGGACCATCTTGGTAAGCCTGATGTTGTAAAACACACCCAAGTGAAGCACAGGGAAAGCTTTCACCAGCACTGCAGCACTGGCTGCAAAAGTGGTGTTTTCACACCCACCTGATGTACCCTCGAGAGCAGCACTTCCTAATGGCTAACAGAAAACACCTCTCAAACTTCTCCTGGACCAAATTTCCAGCTTCTAAGTCACACAGATACGTGGTAGAAGGCATTTTGTTGGACAGATGGTTCTCACAGGCCACTCAGGACGCAGCTGGAACACAACCTGGAGATCCTGGGGTAACATCAGAGCCCATGCAGGACAGAAAAGGAGCACCTACTTGAAGCGGACCTTCTCATCCATGTCCATGGGGGGTTCATGTGTGATGAGGTTGACCAGCTCCTCCATGCAGTGCTGCTGGCAGAGGAAATCCAGCAGCTTGCGGTTCTGAGCCTTGCACTCCTGTAAGATGTCATCTTCATCCATCAGCTCGTGAAGTGTCACATCTTCTTTATCCAGCAGCTTATCCACGTGCGACGTCGTGTTCAAATCAAACTTCCAGAACATGATGGTGGGACACACCTAGCTGGAATGCAGAAGAATATCAGTCAGTTTTCAGCCTTCGTTCGTTATTCCTCCTTTATAATGGCTTTAAAGTGAAAGAGGGGAGATTTAGCTGAGATATAAGGAGGAAATACTTCACCATGAAGGTGGGGAGGCCCCTGGAGGTGCCCAAGGCTGTGGATGGAGCTGTGGGCAGCCTGTTCTATGGGAGGTGTCCCTGCCATGGCAGGATGGGCTTTTAGGACTTGCAGGCCAGGTCATCCCACAGTTCTACAATCAGCAGAGCATAGAGACTCGTGGTTTGTATCACCTAAAGGCTGCAAGGCTGGGCAGCCAAAATCCAGGCTGCAAAATAAGTTCTGTTCCCAACCATCCTGAAACAGATGATGCTCAACAACCTGCACGTGTGTCAGCCCAGGGGCTCCACATTTCATAGCTGTTCCAACTGGGAATTACGGCTGTTTACCAATAAGAGAAGTGGCAAAAGGTACTAAAAACCAAAGCCAAACATAGCAACTGAAGTCACCATTTCCTCCTACACGTTCTATTAAGTATTTGCTGCAAGGGAGACATCCTCACCATCCTCCTCCTCCACAGAAAGCTTCACGTGGCCATTTTACATCCATCTGCAGCAGAGCAGAGCCAAACACCAGTTCTGGGACGCTGCCTTCAAGTTGTCACTAAATTGAGAGCTTTGTGTTTCTCACTTTCAACCCCATCCCTTTCTTTCATCCCAACCACTTGCCTCCTGGTTATCCTGACCTTTCTCTATGGGAGCTGTACCAATAATAGCTGCTTTTTTCAGCTAGTTTCCCCAGCACACCTTCACAGGTCATTCATGATACCAGAACAAGGCAATGCCCAGATCCATCCTTACCAACCTCTTCTCAAGGCCCTCCTCCAGCTTCATGCTTCCCCTCACAACTCTGCCCCATTCACCAGCTGGCTTTGGACTTCAGCATTCTGAGGCAGAGATCCCACATCTTACAAGAAGCTGAGCTTGAAGAAGGCTCCAAAGAGACTTCACTGCAGCCCTGTAGTACTTAGAGGGAGCTGATAAACAGGACAGCAGCTCTGTACACGGGCAATGGGACACAGGGGAATGGCTTTAAACTAAAAGAGGGGAGACTGAGGTCAGATCTGAGGGGAAATCCTTCACCCAGAGGCAGTGCAGCCCTGGCACTGCTGCCCAGAGCTGTGGGTGCCCCAGACCTGGAGGTGCCCATGGCCATGAATGGGACCCTGGGCAGCCTCAGATTGGGGGCACTGAGCTCATGGTGGGTGTGGGGCTGAGGGGTCCATCCCAACCCAACCATTCTACAGCTCTGTGATCATTACGTTCCCTTTCAATCCAACCACTCAATGGCTCTATGATCCATGAGGTCCC